AGCCTTCCAGTCTTCCAGCTGGGATTTTTTGAAGATAAGATAAAAACTTCCTGGGTTACTTTGCGCACGAGCTTTACTACTGAGTATCCTTGATAGCTTCCTGCTTTCTCTGATTTAGACTTTTCCAAGCAGTAGAGATTAGGAAACCTACTTGCCATACAATCAGGAATAGGTGGTTCTGGCTTAAAAAAAGTCAATCGAGCGTCTTGTAACCTTTACCATGTTCAGACAGACATTTTCTTTGTATCCAATGATGTGTTGGTACATGTCATGTATCCACCCACACCAACACATATGACTTATAGTGGACCCCAGGTTCCTATAGAGCTGAGGAAATACATTCAGACACGTGAGATGGCCAATAGGAACTTGTTTATAAATCTTGTTCAACGTGTTTTGTGTCATCCAATCAGAGTTAGTGAGATTCATGCTACTCAAAATTTTAGGGTCAAGCTGGGCTAGGCAAAATTCTCCAAAAAGTCATGAAAAAGGTAGCTCTAAGAGGCCACAACCCCAGTTGAAGGGTATAAAAATGAGTCCTTTGATTGGAATAAAACCTCCGTTATCTCCACTGTAGCTGAGAGGTGAGAGGTACTCCACAGTTAGTCCTTTTCCCTTTAAAAACTTTCTTGCCAGTGGTAGTAAAGGTGGAAGCTGAACTTTGCAAGCCACAAGAGTTCAGTTTTATTCAAAGGAGGTTGTAAACAAGAGGGAGAGGAAGTGAGGGAGTTCTGAAAGAACATTTGAGTTGGTTTAAAGAAAGTAATAAGACTTTATTAGCAAGGAAGTATAAAAACTTCTTGTGAATATCTTTTTTATGTGTGATCAGAGAATCAGCAGAAAGAGTGCAAAATATTTTATACTAAATTATTATAATATTAATTATGATTACTTATAGTTAAAAAATTTACTAAAATATTTGAATAAATATTTGAAATTAATTTAAGCTTTTCAGCTAACTTGTAAATAATATTATAATGATTTTTATTACTATAATGTGATACTATCAGAAGGTTTGCTGAATTGAGCATATAGTTTGAAAGAGATTTTGGAATATAAACAAGAAAAAAAAATAGAAAAGAATAAAGAATTAATAGTTAAATCTAAAAAATAAAAAATTACTGAATATAAAGAATCATTAATATATTTGAAAAGTGAAAAATAAACTGGAAAAAGTGCATGAATAAGTAAAATTTGAAGACAGTTAAGTTAGAAAAAAAAAGTAAAAAAATCTCAAAAAATATTCAACAATATAAAACTAATTGTGACTAATTTTAAAAGAATCAAGTCAAAATCTTTAAAAGGAAAAGAAAAGTTTGTGAAAGAGAAAAAAAAAAAAAGAGAAAAGAGAAAAGTAATAAATAGTTTAGTCAATTTATTTTATAATTTTTTGTAATTTTTAATAAATTTCATAAAATTTGTTAAACTTCTTAAATATTTATCAAATTTTAATACTGGTTTTGTAACTTTTACCAAATTTTTTACTGCAATATACAATTTTTTTGTTGAATTTTTTGTTACAATGTCAATTTTTTGTTAAATTTTTTGCCATAGTTAAATATAAATTCTTAAAGAGGAGGCAGAAACAAAAAACAAATGTCTTTCACTAATAAATATTAAAATTTTTAAATTAATAACTATTAAAAAAACTATCTACAATTTTCTTCATTATTCAAATTATTGATTTATAGCATTTTCTAATTTTTGTTCTTATTAAAGTGAAGAGCTATTAATTTTGTCTCTCAAAAAGAAATATAAGTGATCTGCAAGATTTTATATATTAAATATTTTAGGGACCCATCATTAATCATAATATACAAAAATTTTTTTATTAAAGTATATAAATTTTTTATGCAATATATCAAATTTTGAATTAAATTTTTATCTAATTTTTTTGTTACAGAATATCAAAATTTTTTGCAAATTTTTACCAATATTTTTAATATAAGTAGTAATAATTAAAAATGATTTGTCATAGTTTTTATTATTAGTTTTTATAAAATTTAACAATAATTCATTTGCCAAATGATATAATTTTAACTTGCATAATAATATTGAATATTGAAAAAGTTTCTATCTGAATTACTAATAAAATTATAAATTACTTCTAAAGTTGTACTTAGAGTTCTGTATAAAAATTTAATAAATGAGTTAGTTAGAGATTTAGCTTTAATATCATATACAGTATATAATATATAATCTATAATTATTTAATAAAGTATACATAACTAGTCTGACAAAAGGTTAAAAAAAAAAAAAAAAACTAAAAAACTAAACAATTTATAAATATAAATAATTTTTTTTTTATAAATTTTATAATTTTTATTAAATAATAAATAAATAATTGTCAAATTTTTAATGAATTGTTAATATAGTTGACAAATTTTTAATGAATTGTTAATGAACTTTTTAAAGAATAGTTTTGATAAATATTTACAGATTTTTAATAAATAGTTAATGAATTTTTAATGAATAGTTTTGATGAATAGTTATTAAATTTTTAATGAATAATTTTAATGAATAGTTGACAAATTATTAATAAACTATTGATGAATTTTTTATGAATAATTAATAAATTAATATCAAATTTTTATTAAATTTCTAATAAATAATTTTGTGATAAACTTTAATTAAATTGTTAATACATTTTTGCAAAATAGTTAATAAATTATTTGATGAATTGTTAATAAATTTTTTGATAATTTATTAGTAAACTTTTAATTGATGAATTTTTGATTGCCAAATTTTTTGATTGCTGATTTTTTATTGCCACTTTATTGCCAAAATAGTAACATTCTAAATGCCAGCAATCGAAAAGAATTTGACAATATTTTTATTATTAAATTTAATTAAATATTGCTGAAAATATTTTACTCAGAATAATAATATCAATTGATTCCTCATTTAAGAAACCAACTCTCTTTTTATAATCAATTTTATTAAACTTCGATTTAAAACAACCATTCATCTGTATATATCCTTCGATTATTCTATTACAGTATCATTATATTTATTAAATAGAAATACTGTATATTGTAATATTTTGTTGTCGGGGTCTAATAAAACTAAAAACTTAATTTCATTTAACATGGATAGCCATCAATGCCTATTTAAAAACCTCATGAACATTCAAACACTTCCTTTCGAATAGTATGCGCAATACGTATGGCCTTTCACAATGCGTGAACCGATCGCAGAATACCACGATCACGTGATAGGTGCATTTAGAGCGCGTCATTGAACTATTACATAATACGATCACTACTCTGATTCGCGTTCGCTTCAATACATAATGTATAAAGTTTAGAGGGAATTACGGATATGAATGATAGATACAGTCCTAATCCTGTTCACTTTAATGCTGCCACAGTAAATTGGATATATTCGGCGACGCCGTATTGTTTAAAGTTAATCCCGAAGGCGATAATACAACAAACTTTGGTCAATAATGGAAACCTTAACGATAATACTATAATACGGTATAAATAATGAAGAATGTATAAGTTTATCGTATAATAAAGATGCTTACATACACTCGTTCGAGGATAGTATTTTCACCTTGCGATGATCAATACATAAAGTTCACAATACGAGAAAGAAGGTTTCCCCTTTAAATAAATGCCTTACGCGCGTGCTTATTAAAAAAATAGAACATGCATATACATGCGAACGATGCCTCGTATTAAGTGAACCAATTATATAAAGACTCTGGAATTTGAAAAAACTTTGGTATTTTTTTTTTACAAAAATTCATCGTCGTTCATATCTCATTTTTAAAATTCACCGGCACTTGAAAATCTTGGCAGAATTCTTCGCAAGCCATAATTTTCCTTCAATTACTACCAAGCCATGGAAAGCATCGAAAACATCAACGAAAACAACCCTTATTCCTTTGAAAGGTGGTTCAACCAACCTTATTCTTTCAGTCAATATTTTCCGTACGTAAAATTCGCGCACAACATTCTCCATCCCCTCGAGATGACGGGTTACATGCATGTCTCCTTAAAGGACCTCGATCAGATTAAAGCCTATATTCAAAAACTTTGTTTCGCCTTGGAATTCAGAAGAAATAATATTCGCTCACGAGATTTTTTTCCCAAGGGATTTAACGCGGCGCAATTCGGCTCTCCCCAAACAATTTCTCCTCAATTGAATTTTCATAATAAGTCCAAGAAGTGTGACCGTGTTGACTTTAAAACCGCTCAAGCCGAATCTCTCCTGGGTTTCCTTATCGCTCAACTATTGGACCAAGTGGACTTTGTTTCCAAGTATTGGCAATTCAAAATTTACGAAGACGCAAAGTGCAGGACAGATGCTATTTCAGGAGTTCTCGGAGTAAACCACAAAGATTCGGTTTCTTTATACTCAATGTCAGAATTTATCTCGCGTCCGGAAAACACATTGGAATGGCTAAAAAGGTTTAATAAGTCGATCTATAGATCGATCGTCGAAGAGGAGATCGCCATCATTTATAATTTGGGTGATAGATTTGAGCATATGGTGACACTGCAGTCATATTTGAGGGGTGAGATGAATCCGTTCAAACGATTAACGAATGACGGAGGAAGGCTGCTGACTCCCGAGGATGCCAATATATGGATAATAATGACCTATATGACAATGAAACTCTTGGAAAAAATTGTGAACCCAAAAGATGATCACATCTTTCGAAAGCAGAATCCAACGGATTCATTCATTCGCGAGCATCTGATCAAGGAACTAGAAGAACTTTTGGCCACGAGTAAGGAATTTGCGTTAGATGAGAGGTGGATAAAATCGGAAGAACTGGAGGTCGAGGACGACGAGTGGAAAATTATCGACCCGAAAAGCGACAATGAGAACGATCCCAACCAAAACCTATCATCATTCTTCCTATACTGCATCATTATAATACTTTTTTATTGCTTTCCGATATCAATTTACTTCTCGAACAATTTAAGCACTGGCATTGAACTGGCAAAGCTCTTTATGCTCGGAGTTCACACATTTCGGATGAGTTACGCGTTCAAGATTAACAGCATCATAATAAAATATTTAGCCATCAATGTCGACAAGAAGCTTTTTAAGTACAAAAATTGCCTAGGAATGTTATCCAAATCCGTCATGGCAATATTGGGGATTTGGATCTCATTTGTTTTGGTGACATCAGGAATCGGCACTACGTTTCGTTATTTTCACGATGACCCCGAACCACTATCTATAATTTAGATTTCACATTACCGATCATGAATTCTTGTAAATAATATTTACTTAATTCAAATCCAAACTCCATCATGCCGATGTGCCAGAACACGTCCGGAGCAGGGAGTCAACACATCGATTGCGCGAGGAAGACTGATTCGATTGAAGGGTCGAAGAAGGTCGAGAATCCCACTTTAGTTACTTGCGCCGCAAAAAATCCGGGACAGGACATCCGAGATAAAATGTAGATAACTTTACATATAATTCACACATTCTGTACCCTAATTGTAGCCTAACATCCGGGAATTCCCATAAGGAAACGAGCATGCGAAAAAATCACACGAAATTATTTATTATTAGACGAAATTTTGCATTATTAAATAAAATTTTAAAAGGTAAATTAATACGTACAGTAGATTGGCTGTGATCATGAATTCATTATTCGTAAATTATTGGCATTATTACCGGTATTCTATTCATACCATGTGCATTGTACAGTACGCTGTATCTACAGTGTGTAATTAATATTATTATTGCGAGATTTTTGCGATTACGTCACTTTGAGTTCTTATGTTTTGCGGGGTCATACGTACATGGTTTTGAATTGCCAGTTCGAGACCCAAATAGGCAAACCGAAGTTCATACATAGTTTAAAATTTGAAATTTGATTGGTCGTACCGTATACGTGCCTTGTACGTGCTGTACTTTGCAAACCCAAGACGTTTCAAGTTCGAAGCTAAGCCAAACCGGTTCAGACCGAGCTATTCAAGATTTCAGTTCTAGGCTCTCATGAAAACACTATGTCTTTCTTTCGCTCTTACCCTTCTTATGAGCCAAATGGTTTCAACACCTACGAGAAAAATAAAATAAAATACACAGAATAAAATAAACATGGTAAATTATTTACTATTCGAACTTGACAATAAAATTATGAAACATCGTTGATGACTGATTCATCGGATTCAAAATTGCACCTTATAATCTACAAACCAATTTCTTTAATGAAAACATCTTTGATCCTCGCTTTCATTATTGCTTCCACGTTTCGGGTTCATCGGAACGTCCAATTGATTAGGATAGAGAATACGTTAATCCCATCATATTCTTATGCATAATTGAAAATGTTTAATTTGTTTAATCAGCAAATATGCACGTCCTTTAAAAAGAAATAAAATATGATATGTATGTATGTTAGACCTTTCTTTCGTAATTTTTATTCTATAAGTATTCATCGGTAATCTCTGCGGAAGCGATCAAAGTCGCCCTCGACTTCTTTTTATGTACCGTAAATGTCGAATAACATCATGCGAGCGCCTAATATATATTGACGGATGAGCTTAATATTAGTGTGCAGTACCGAGGAAGAGCGTGGGTGCGTTTCAAAATAGTCCTCCCGGAATTGCATGTGGGTTATTGCAAAAATAAGTATCAAGTTTAGATTAAAAACCTTTACAGGATCGTTAAAAATGAATAAATCGGGAGATGTAAGTATGGAATGGAAACATTTTTCTTGTTTCATATTCGCTAAAATCAGTTAAGAAATGGCTTCGTCAACGCTCAAAATGGGTAAGATATACAGTAATTATTCCAAAGGTTCAAACAAGGAGGGTACGAGAGATTTTAACAAGTAACGTCGAAATTTTCGGAAGCAACCTTCTCCTTCTAATCAATTAGCTTAAAATCAAGAAAGAAAAAAAAATACTAATAAGGAAGTTCGCTCAGATCTCCGTTTCTGACAATATATTTTTCTTTCCAGGCGTGCCCTTTATTCTTCAAAGAATGCTGTAAAAGAGGGCTGAAGTTACTGTACCTTTTTTTGTTATCTCACGAACCATAATTTCAAAGTCATATGATCGCATGACTATGATGGTTATATTAATTTTAGACTTAAATTAAAACAATATATTTATTTTATAAATCATAATCATAATAATTAATATTAATATTAATATTTAAAAAGAAAAAGATATTTTTTTAAAATTTTTTTTTTTTTTGGGTGAAAGGTGCTAATAGCACATGTTTTATTGAGTATTTTAATGGTCCATCTAAGTTAACCCACCCCCTTCACCTTAGCCTTACCCGGATATACCAACTTACACCCAGAAGGTGAGTCCACATTCCAAGTTGGATCTTTAGGAGGTGGAAATCCTACCACTAGTTTTAAACCACCTAACCTAATCTAGATCCTGGCATTTATCCCTTATCTAGGATCCACGCTAATCTTCTATACCTTACCACCTCTTAATTATGTCTTTGGTCCATGCAACTGTGAATAGATCTTAGTGTATTTGTGCACTGTCTAGTCAATGTTTCGAGAATTTCATCCAATGGTTGGCACATGCTACCAAACCTAGGGATTATTTACCAATAGGGATGTAACTCCTGAATCTCCTAGTAAACTTATCCATCAGATTCTCGATTGGCGTTAGCTACCAAATCTAGGGGTTACTCATCAAGCAGGGTGCAACTCCTATACAGGGATAGCACTGGTAATTCGCTGACATCGCACGTTAATGTCCATTAATGATCTCTGAGGGGCTTAGTACTTCGTGTTAATGATCTTGGCAATTATCATGCATCTACCAGATGACCGTTACACCACTACACCTTTTGGAAATCACAATCCCAATGTCCACTAGATAAGCATGTAAAATAGCTTTTTATGGAAAACAGCACATTACAGGTTATGGCGCCAGATACCATATTAATTCTATTCAGCTGCTTTCATCAGGAATTGAACTGGTGATATCTTGTAATCTGACCTGTGAAGCATTAATCACTATGCTATAGACCCATAGGTCAAATTTTTTTTTTAATTAAAAGTTAAATTATTTAATTCAATATAAATAAATGTATAATATTTATAGTATATACTATAAATTAAAGAAATTTTAATATGACAATATGACTTTTTTTTAAAAAAAAATAATAATAATAATAATTGATTAATTAATAAAATATAAGTACAAACATTATTATATTTAAATATAAATAGACTACTCTTTCTACTGATCTTCTGATTATATACAAAAAAGATATTCGCAAGAAGTTTTATACTTCTTTGCTAATAAAGTCTTTACACTTTCATTAAAATAACTTGAAGCTTGTCTTCAGGTATCCCTTCTACCCTCCCTTACTTGTTTATAAACTTCTTTAAATAAAAACTTGAGCCTCTAGTGATCTGAAAAGACTCAAAGACACACTTCCTCTACTAAGGGTAAGAAGGTTCTAGGAAGTAAAAGGACTGACAAGTGGAGTGTTACTTTACAGAGCTAGAAGTGATAAGAAATAGAAATTTTGTTGGTAGGGGAAGGCTTATTACTCACCTTCTCACATACTGTCTTATATTCTTTTAAAGTGTCTACTGTTTTTTATGGTTTTCTTAGGGAATTTTGCTTACCTCAGTTTGATCCTGAATTTCTGATAGCACAATGTCATCTGGCATCTGATTAGTTAATATGAAACATGTCAATAGTTGAATGTAAACAAGCTTCTATTGGTCATCTTACGTGTTCTGATGACGTCATTGATGATTGAAAGAGAAATCAAGGATATGAACTCCTTCACTCCTTCAAATAAAGTTTAACTGAAGCAAAGAAATCATGAGGCTATTAGGACAGATACTAAATTCTTTGAGTGGTAAAAAGGTGATTATTTTTTCAAGCCGAGGCCTTCAACTTCTTATCATTCCGATCAAACAATATATGTGAAAAAGATTATTTCCTTATCCTGATCAGGCTGTAAGACTGAAAAGTAGAGAAATGTAAAACACTATCCTTCTCTAAAAAATCAGAGGAATGTAAAACACTGTTCTTCTCTAGAATTGAGAATGTATTTCTCCAGATATTGTGTAATTATATCACAATCAAGATGAACACCAGTAAAATTTCTTTAATAAGACGTGGCTGCTAGAAAATATCAGGAGTTATCCAACAAGATTGAAAAGCCACATAAGAACCTGGGATCCATTGTTAACCATTTTCTTCTATGTGAGTGAATACAAAAATAATACAGAAAGAAAAGAAGCATTGAGCAAAACACTGGATCTGAGTAGGTGATAAGTACCTTAGATGATTATAAGAAAATAATCAAGAGTACAGATGGATAAGTTCCTTAGATGGTTAGAAAGAAGAAGAATATCTTAGAAGGGTTGACTTCCAATAAAAAGAGATTTTTTAACTGAGATCCTTTGGAGGACAGAGCACTTTATTTTATTTTATTATTTTTTTTCTTTTTTATATAAGTGTGTTTACACATTTTTAGATATTCTCCTTTCCTTTTATTTTTTCTTTTTCCTTTTGTAGTTTTTCGAATTCAGTTCGTTGGAGGATAATAAACAATGACAACCTGCTGACAATGATGGATAAGTTAGGAGAGTCTTTACCCAAAACTTAATCCAAAGCGAAATATTGTTTCCAAGGTTGCACTTAGAGACTGAAGCTCTTTTGAGAATTGAAAGCCATTGACAAGTATGTCAGTACAAGCTTTTAGTTTAGCTATGATGCAATTGCACTATGTATTTCTATTGGTTTTCATATGATTAATAAACACACAGTACTGGCCTGACTATGGGTTTAAAAAAAAAAAATAGGTACAAACATTATTACTCTCATTATATACTATATAAAGAGATCAGATCAGGTGACTTCGTTATTAGATGTATTATTTGCGTTCTTATTTACCACGCACTGTATATTTGGCTTTTTTCCATTCCGATTCCCGATAGATTTATTGACAAATAAAGCAAGAATTTGATTAACTCGAGATGAACGTCATCATACATAGTGTGATGACAAAGTTGGCACACAATCTAACTTATCTTTTACAAAGAAATAAATCGAAGAGGCGTTTTTTCGTGCGTGCACCCAGTTAGTTGCACAAGAAGGAGCTTTCTATCGATGATCAAATTATTTTTACTCAAGGTTATCTTTGATTTTTTCGCGTAAGCTCTCGTAACACATCGTCACCAAAGAGAATTTTTTTTTTTTTTTTAAAAAAAAAAAATAATTGAAAAAAAAAACCATTAATCATATTAATAATATAGGGGATGGATGATTAGTCAATTTTTGGAATTTCTTGAAATTTCCCTTGGATTTTGCGCGAAAGTCATTGATGGTTTGTACGCCTATATGATTACCCGCGAAGCCCGAAGCCTTGATCACCTCTTGACCATCGGTTCACCCTTCTCCTCAGGTCCGACCTTCTTGCACAAACACGGAAGCTGTGTTAAACATTTGAAAATTCCTCTAGTCGCATTTCAACAACATTCAATATTAATTGATTTGTGGGGATTTGACCAGAGCGAGGTTGATATCGTTCTGAGTAGATTCAAAAGCAGATGGTGGCTAATAGCACCCAAAGTTAGATTTAAATTACCGGATATTTATTATCCGAGGAATAGCTTTATACGAAAACTACCTTGGTATCTGTATAAATTTAATGGGTGTGGAGGGTCATGGGAGAGAGAGGGGTGCATCGAATATAATAATATTTTGTGGGAGATTGTTTTGAGTTTAGGCATAACTTGGATCATAGCAAAACAGACGGGATCGTGGATGTAAATAATTTATTATTTTCTTTATTTAACTTGATCGGTTGTATCTTGGCAAGTAGATTTTTATTGCAATAAATTAAATTATTATTAAGGGAAATTTTTGGAAGGGAACCGTTGAATACACTGGAAGCTCAAACGTTTTTACCTAATATTTTGTTAATTTATTCTATTTTTAAGTTTGAACCATTTATTGTAGAGTAGCATCTCTTACGTATTAAGCGTAGTACACGCGGATGTAATGTTTATCTCCGAAGAAATTCTCTAAAAAATATTTTCAAATAGAAACATGCCTATCATCACAACTGCCATGGTTTCAATGATATCTAAAGTTGCGGTGCTAGCCTTCGACAAAGACCCAGGAGTATGATTAGGACTAGAATTGGCGCTTGCGCCACTGGACGTAGTAGAAGGTGATGATGATGTGGTGGTGCCTGCGGTTTGCGTTGGAATATCGGATGATTCAGCTGTGTCAGTTGTTGACGGTGAATCGGTGGTGATGGCGGTAGTGGTGATGGCGGGATCGTTGGGAATTGTACCGTTTATACCTTCAATTGTAAAGCGGGCGGACCAATATGCATTGGTGCCTGAGGTAAACTTGAAGAAACTGGTATCAAAGGAAAAAAAAAAATTTGAAGAGAATAGAATTAAAAATCAATATGAAAAGAAAAGAAAAGAAAGGAAAGGAATAATAATACATACTAGTAGTTTCCAGAAGGACCGAGATTTTCCGGTATTTTAAAGGCAGTAGATTTGGAATTTGGGTCTAGAGGTCCGTTTTTTAATAATGACAGTTGATCGGTATCCGTTCCTGTCATCAGTTCAACTGTGAGATGTTTTAAGTGAGAGAGTGGAGGTTCCTTTCCGTCATCTTTCCAGGTGGCCACACATTTCTCCTTAGGGCTACACACATATTGTTCACTTTCCAAAGGCTGTAAAGCCGCTCGGCAAGTAGCGAGAAAAAGAATGAATCCAAAAAAGCCAGAGAGTTTCATCTTTAATTACCACCACAAAGATTGAAATGTGTGGACGCGAAACCGTTGCGACAGTGTTAAAACGAATTCACGGAATTCTGAAAAGTAAAGTTGACACAGCTGAAATAGCCCAATGTTGAAAAAAAAAAAAAAGGAGGAGGTCATCATATTCGTCATTTATAAGTTCCAAAAAAGACTTATCGAGAAGATGCTGAAGTCAACTTGAAACAACAATAGGGGAGACATATGATTCGCGACCAACATAATTTTGAAAATCCATGCAGCTAGAGCGTGCGCAATATTTAGAGTGTACACAAAATATCAAGTATGAAGCAGAGCTAAACCTATTTATGTTCGAAGGAATAATGTTAATAGAATGAGAACGCAAATTACAGAAAGAAGAGGGTTCCGTAGTGATGGGAATTCGCACCTAAGTATGTACAGTTGCCATCCGAACGCCCAAATCATAAAATAGTTTCTGGATAAACTAATATACAGTATTGATGCCAATAAATTTATCAATTATTTATTATGTAGGATGTATTCAAATCTTCAACATTATCTTTATCGTCCTTTTGATATTTGACCATTTGTCCTGTTTGAGTGGCACTATATACACGTGCAATTGTGCACTTAAGGGAACATTATCAATGAAACCGAATAATTTAATATTATATAGACAAAAAAGTTTAATTATAATAATAATAAATTTTTTTCTTTTTTAATTGTTATAGACCTGATAGGGATAGAGACTCATTTATGAAAAGATATGAGCGCTAAAAATGGTTACAAAAAATTTTATGTCGAATTCTATTAACAATTAATTAAAATGAATTTAATCGGCGTAAAAATTCACCGTAATCATCATTGTTGTTTTTCGTGAATAAATTTAATTTTTGTTAATTAATATAATAGTTTATATATAATTTCATATAAGCACATTTATAAAATACTGTATCTTGAATTATGTTTTTTATATAAACAAGGGAATAAGAAAATAATCAAACTTTTGTTTTTTAATCGTGTTTTTAGAAAATATTATAAACAATTTAAGATCTACCTTGATTATATTAATATTATACAGTATATAATGAAATAATAAATTATTTAATAAAGATAATCATGTAATATAAAACAAAAATTAATTGATTTATCATATTTCAATGATTTTATATAATCTTATTAATTTAAATTATTATAAAATTATAAATTATATATAGATTAAAAAATAATAATACTGTTATATTTAAAATTCATAATACACAGTTGCTTTCAAAAGTTTTAGTCTTTTTATTATATTTTTATTATAAATTTCAACTTTATCAATTTTTAATCCTTAATTATACAATTAAAAATTATAAAATTCATATACAGTATATTACATTTTAATACTAACTTGATTTTTTTTAAATGTACTGTATATATATATATATATTGTAATTCTTTAAAGTTTTATTATTATTAAATAATTTCTTTATTTATCAAAATTTTGTTTTTAAATAATTTTAATTGATTTTTACTATAAATTGTAATAATTAATAAAAAAAAAAATATTTTAATAATATTAAAACTTTAAAAATTATATATAAAAATTTTTTTAAAAAATATATAAAATAAGATTAATATTGAGATATAATATATATAAATTTTATATATTTTTAATTATATAATTAAAGATTTAAATTGAAATAGGCCTATTTAATTTCCTGGAAGACTGGAACTATATAGATGTTCAGAATTCTTGGGAGAAAGAGAACACTACTTTCACATGGGCAAACAATACATCATATAGCAGAATTGACTACATCTGGTCACCACCAGAAATC